AGTGCACAGCTTCCACGTTTGGGCAGGCGACCACGGGCCGGGCAGCCTTGGCACCACATCCACGCACCAGCATTTCCAGGCTCTTCTGATTCTTCCTGCCCCTTCACCTGCCGGGGGATGCTGCCCCGTTTGGTAGCACTGGAACCCAAGGGCTCAGTGCCACATAGATCCCCCTGCTGCCATCTCAACAGCGGGACTGCATTTCCCTGTATGAAAGGTGACTTTTCCCCTGCCAGATTCCCTCCTCCAAATGATGCCAGGTGCTATGGGCATCTGCACCATAGATCCCAGCAGCTCAGCACTCGTCGCTGGGGCCAGACCACACACGCTTCTCCCTGGGCAGCACCCAAAGCCTTCACGAGCCCATCTGCCCCCAACACTGTCACTCACTGGTGGTGCTTCCCGACATCTGGATGATGCATTTAGATTCCCGGCTCATCTCACGGGAGTTGAAGGGCCGGACACGCACCGCCACCTTCACGGATGCTCCCGCCATCGCGCTGGCCAGAGGTGGGTCCTGCTAACAGGGAGCAATGGTTGTCCTGCAAAGAGGGAAAAAAATGGGTTTAGGAAAGCTCACATCCCAATCCCCATCTTGCAGCCATGCCGGAAAAATGAATGGAAAGCCTGTGCAATGAAACCTCCCAGGAATGCTGGTTTGCCTCTGCCCAAATGAAACCTTTCGTTTCATCCCTCAGTCTGCCTGTGTTTTGCCTCTCCTGGCTCTCCCTTGTATCTCTGGTCAGGACCCCCTGCTCAGTCCCAGGGGACACCCCTGCCCTTATCCCAGGGCAGCACCCAGAGCCTCCACCACCTTGCAGCATTGCTTGGTGGGTGCCGACAGCAGGGGATGGGGCCATGTAGGCACCGTCAAGCATCAGCGTGACCCCTGAGGAGCATTTCTTCCACCCCAGGGTGCCAACGTCACTGACAGGTACACTCTCACTTGCAAGCAAGCCCACAACCCCCTGCCAGTCACTTGAGCCTCCTGCCTCTGCTCCAGCCCCAGCAGAGCAGGGACTGGGCAGCAGGACAGGGCGGAGAGGGGGAGGAAAATGATGACTTTCGTGTTGAGAGGGGAAGCGGCTGTTGAACACAGCCGCTGGTATTTGCCTCTCATTCAGCTCCCAGCAAAAGCAGAAGCGCGGCATCAGCAGGAGCAGCAGCAGCCAGCAAGCCGCTCAGTCCCTGCTGTT